GCGCTGGGATGTTCCGCCTGCGCCGCGTGTGAGTCCGTGCCGCCGTCCCCTCGTTTGTGAGCACATCACGCTGTTGCCTTCTTATTGCAGTTCTTTTATTACATTTCCATTTTTTATATTTTGTATACTGTTATTTTAGTCCAGATTTTTTATTTGTTTATTTTTATATATTTATTTCGCACTTGCTCGGTGCTGGGTGCGATTGTGCTTCGGAGTTTTAATACGTGGATGTTGCTCTCTATGCACCGATATTAACGGTGCTGTAAAGCTGCTCGCAATTACTGGGCATAAATCAACAAGAAGCACAAGATAAAAGAAAACCTAATATGGTGCTGTCTCCTGTTTACCTGTGACTTAACAAGTGAGCATTATAACTCCTGGAACATTTCAGCACCAAAATAATAAGAAATTCGAGTGTCTCTGGGTCCGTGCAGTGATATTACCGTTATAATAAGCCCCCGAAATGTTATTACGTGTTGATATTAGCCACCTACCAGCTTTTCAGACAATAAGTATCACCTAACAAAAAATTACGGTCGAGCACGGCAAATCGCATGCATATGCTCAAGCGGAGGTGCTGCTTTCTTTCTTTTTATTTTAGTTTCCCCTGCGTTTGATTCAGGGCTTCAGTGTTTAGGTCAGGCTCCCCGTATCCTGTCTGGGCCATGTTGCACCAGCTGGGTAAGGTGTGGATGACAAGTGGGATCTTGGCTGGATAGTTGGATATGATCCTGATGGGTTTCTGCCTAAACCAACTGCCAGAAACTAGTCAGTCAGGGGGATTATCCATCCACCCATTTTCTATACCCACATCTCCTGTGCAAGAAACTATGGACACAAAGCAGAGAACAACCCAGGATGGTGCGCACATGTTCACTACCTGGCAATGCCTTGTGAAAACTGGAGAGAACAGGCAGTGACTCAAACGCTGGTCTCCAGAGGTGTGAGGCGATCCTGCTAATCAGACACCGCCATGCCCCACCCAGTTGGCCCAATGAGTGTACTGATACTTCCAAAATAGGCATGTCTTTGATTTAAAAGTACAGACGCTCCTCTACTTACGAACTTTCAGACATATGAACGAAGAGGACTGTAAGTCCACATTGTGTTCCTTGGGTTCCTGTTTCCTGTCCGCAACATCAATTTTTTTTTTTTCTGTGCGCCAATTCCGCCTAATATTACTTCTGGCCGCTACTCCCGCCACGTAGCAGCGTAGTGTGCGTACTCCCAGCATCCTAGTTCTTTGTACATGCGTATACCCTTAAAGAAATGTGGAATAACGACTTGCGCACAATTCAAGTTTCGAACGGCCCTTCGGAACACAAGTAGAGGAGTGTCTTTATAGGCAAGACTGGTATCTTAAAGAGGACATTAAAATGTTTCTTAGAAAATATCCTGTGTACAACTGTAAACATAGACTCGTTTACCTTCAGTTTCGAAATGAAAAATATCTATTACGCCCAATGGGAACTTTCTAAAGCCCTAACTTTGTGAGACTAGTTTCTGTGGCTAAGTGAATGTGAATTTCTTGCATCATGAACCTCTTGAAGAAAACTTCCCAAAGTTAACCAATAATAGACATCATTCCTGTAACAACTTTGAGAACTGTGTCCATGGTAACAGTTAGCTTTGAACCATTTGGTGGGGGGGGGGGAATCAATTTATAACCGTATTCAGAAATCTAGTGACATCCTAAACCCCTCCCCCAGCATGCCAGGTTGTATTTGTTATTAGTCATTGCATGTTTGCCTCTGTTGCGTTTTCAAGCTGAACGGGGGCTAAATTAACCGTCTTCTAAGCTTTGGAATAGCTGCGAGCCAGCCCCCGACACTGCGAACCAACTGCTTTCCATCTTGGTTTTCACATCTTGTGTCTCCAGGCCTCCTGCCATGTAAACCACAGAGCCAGCTCCGGCGACGAGAGTCTGCCGAACGACAGAACAATAACAATGTGGATGATGAGGAAAGCAGCGCACTGTGGTCCCTCAGCGGCCCCGTGTCCCCCGGCTCCTCCCGGGATTCCCGCCTTCCCGCCAGAGACGCACGCACTCCAACGTTGGCATGTGTGCGAGCCGTTATAGATGGGTGGGTGGGAGTGGGTATAATATGGTGTGATGAGGGCCACATGTCATTTTCAGGGTTTCTTTGGTAACCGTTGTCCTGATTGCTGGGCAGATTCACGCATCCTCGCGTAGCAATTGGGCCGCGTTTCAGTAGCGCTTGTCAGAAATTCAGTTATCGGCGGTAGCGGAAAAAATATTGAGGAGACAGCCGACGCCGTGGAGGTTGTGCTGTCACCCCGGCCCGGCTGCTGGGGGGGGTCACGGCTGGAGTACTCCTGTCTAGCCTGATTTGTTTTAGTTAACATTTGGCTGCTTAAACCGGCAAAGTAAGTAGCCGTGAGCTCTGTGAATCACTCCGGGTTGGGGGTGTCAGCCAAACAAGAAAATATATTTTTAAAACATAAAAGCCGTAAACTCTGTGTGTTTTCAGCTTCCTCTGACATTCTTACACAACACATCCAGTCTGATTGCGCGCGTCTGGAGAGCACTGATAATACAGCACAAATAAGCAGGAGAGCACACTTATTTTGGTCCTGGCTGCCACAGCTGTCACTGCATGTTTCGGTGTACCTTGACTCCTGATACGCACGCCCCCTTTCGCATGTTATTTTTTTCTGTTCCTTCCTCCTTTAAACTCCGCCGCAGCTGTAGCATGGCTGGCGACCGTGCCGCCGGGAACAGCGAACCGCAAACACTGGCAAAAGCAGCTCGAAAAGGCACTTTATTAAGTTGCTTCGTTCTTCTCGTTAATCCGGCTATGCGATACGCGTCAGTCGATGGGTACCTAGCGCACGTGAGATTAAAAACGCGAGAGCGGATCTATGCGCGCTCACGCGCTCCCTAATGCATTTGTGCAGTTTGCATCGGTGGGGAGATCAAGAGGTCCCTCCTCGCCCCCGCCATCCGGTTTGAGGTTCCGTCGGTGGGACCTCCTCGGTACCCAGATGGCGGATGGCGGCAGTGTCGTGGCGATGCTCGCGGCAGCTCAGTTGGATACGATGCCCTCAGCCTACAGCGCTGCCATTTTTCCCTTCTTATTCCTCCGAGCACCTTGCTTTGCATCGCAAGGTCACATTTCTCACCGGCTCACTGTGCGCAGGTGACAAATCTAAAGAGGCAAGAGTGATACTATATCCCCAGAGTGCCATCAGCCATGACTCAATGCCGTACAGAAGCCCTTAACGTCTTCCTGTGTTGGGAGGTGCTCTTTCCGGCACGCAAAGCTTTGGGTCTGTCCGGGTTTAGCCCCGACACGTTAAGCGCCAATGAAACAAGTTGGGGGTGTCTATTACGTCCCCAAAGGTTTGCTTTAAAAATTGCTTCAAATGAGCAGCAGCATAATCCTGTGGCATGTACACAGGACTGTCTTTCTTTCTCAGTGGCGGCAGTGATTTGAACTTTGCTAAGTGTGGAGCAGTGAAAGCCAGGAACGTGATGGGCCGTATTTAGCTCAGCTGTGTCTCGCAGCTTGCTGCACTGGGGGGAGTCCCTTTGTCCTTATTCCCCCCCCCCGTCACCGTGCTCAACATCCCGACACATAGAGGGGGGGTGGCTTGACAAAATTCATGGCTGCGTATGAGGGCAGCGGGGCTGGTCGATGGGGAGGGAGGCCTCTCTGACTCGCCCTCATCAATGTCACGGCGCCGTCGGAGTGCCTGATCCGCCACCCGGGCCCTGGGTCGGTGGAACCTCCCTGGGTTTTGATCAGCTTTTCAAGTCGGCTTAATCCTGTCAGCACTGACAATGACGCCTGATCTTCTCTGTTCTCTGCCGGCATGGGAACCGGCCTACCGCTCCGACTATTCAAACAGAGCCCGATTCTCCTGGAATTCATAATCGTTCCTATTAAGAATTTAAATGTATCAAACATTGTGAATTTAAGGCAATGATCTGCATTCATCCGAACATAAGCCGGCCCGGGTGAATGCACAGACGTCATGTTGAAATTCCAGTAACGTCTGATATGCAAAAAAGGGGTGAGAGAAGAAAGAGGAAAAAGTCATTTCTCTTCTGGAAGGGGATGGGCGACAAGAAAAGGAGTCTGTGAGCATTAAGGGAGCATTCGGCGGCAGCGGAGACAGAGCGACAAGAGCCAGCCTTAACACGAGCCACCCGAAACGGCATGGCCGAGGCTGCCTAATGGGCCGCGGCTTGATGGAGAGTTCTCCCCCCGACCCACTGGCTGCGTGGGGAAGCGCCGTCCCATGGATGGATGGCGTGCCGCCCGTTTAGTGAGGGAGCTCTCCTCTCGGGACTCGACGCTCCTCCAGACGGGAAAGAGAAAACACGTCCCTCATTTATTCCAGACGAAGGCACCCTGCCTCGAGAACCAAGGGCCCGATTTGCGAGTGGCATCTACGCAAGTGGCCTGCGGGGGGCGCATCGGTTCGGCGTCTGCGGCTAGGTAGCCGGAGAGCAAAGCGCCGCGGCCCCCCCGTACCGCCATCTTCCCGTCCGCCCACACTCAGCAGCCGCTCTGCGCTTGTGCGGGGTGGGGAAGGGCCAACCGTCATTTCAGATGGGGACAGTGACAAGGCGCCGTTTCTGTGCGATGCAAACACTAGGAGGCGAGTGGAGGAAATTGCATCTGGGTGCTAACGGCACTGGCGTCGCCCGCGGCCCTGATGCGTCTACATGTGGCACTGTTTACATTGCATTAACTCAGTGCTCTGCCTCGGAAAATCAGGTCGACGCCCGGCATGTGTTTGGGAGACATTAGTGTTGAGATGTTAGGCAATCTACAGTGAGTTGTGGTTACGCTGCGGTGAAGATAAGGTTGCAGCGAGGGGGGGCATCCATTTCACAGGAACGATGTGGCCAAAATGATGACGCCGATCTAATAATGACAGAGAAAATTATTAGCATAATACGTCAAATGCTGCCTCCTCTGTTTCGGATTTAATTAATATGAGCACGGCCATGTGGAGAACGCTGTAATACGTCTGGCTGTCGCGCGCTAACCGAATTTCATCTGCCCCTGTTGGAGGACATTATAAAACACATTTATTGCGGGAAAAATGAAGGAGAAGTCAAGTTGAGATGGACGTGTAAAGAACTCCTGATGTGTCTGCATGTGAATGTATGTGATAGTAAATATGTTTTTTGCTCTGTACTCATTAGAAGATTGCATTTGAGGAGGTGACTCAATGGCTGAAGGGGTCTGTCCTCTGCAGGTTCCACGGACGCTTCGGCTGAAAGGAAAAACGTGAGACACCAGGTTTGTTTGAGCAGGGTGGCCCCCACATGTGGCGGAGTGATGTTGTGGACCTGCGACTGGCCATGAGAGAGGGTCGGCCCCCACGTGTGGCATGGTAATATCAGAACCCGCAGTGAATGCAGTGCTCACTGTTATCACTCACCCTGAGGACAGATAGTCATTGCTTACATATGCTCCTTTATGCCTTAAAACTCCTTATGGGGGTAATTTTACCGCAGTGATAGCTGATAGGATGTAAAACAGCAAAGCTTCGTCACCAAGCAAATCTGAGTAGTCTGGTCTTAAAGATCTCCATGGGATTTGGCCTGCAGGCTAATTAACAGTAGGGATGACTAGCACATGACACTTTCTGACTGCCTGTTCTCTAACTAAATCCACAGCTTGGATCTGCTCGGTTTGGCTTGGCATGCTGTAGGACCAAGGCCCCGCTGATGTAAGTTGTGAAACAGCTGATGATGAGTTCTGCTCCATGGAAGGGTTTAGGAGGGGCGCTGGGGGCACCAGGCAGGGGAACAGGGGTGTTCAACCTTTACTGCCACCAGGCTCCTGGAACGGCAGCTCTTCTGGTACCTGTGCCAGGCTGGTGGCAGTGCAGAAAGTTGGCCGGCAGTTGAAAGAGAATGGGTGAGAAACCTCGAGTGGAGGAGCTCTCCCCTGCCACCCCTCCCCCACCCCGCCCTCCAATGATGACTTCATCCCCCCCTTCGACACTCCCTCCCTACACCACTCGGGAGAAGAGTGATGCCCGGGAATAGGGCCCGCGGTAGGTATCAAAATTGCATCTTGCTCGCCCTCTTTTCTGCCTCGCCAACCGAAATTTCAGCTAATTTGCTGTTTATCCTTAAATATGCACAAGTGGAATAATTTAAGCCATGTCCTGATTTTATACACGGCCTGACAGCTTTCTGTCAGAATATGTAACCACTGATTATCATTTCAAGGAGGGCAAAGAGTTTTTAAAGGGCACAGGTTTTTTAAAGTTGGGAAAGGAATGCGTCCGTGTGCCGGGGTGGAGGGATCTTTGCCATGAATTTGTAATTTATCCTGCTGCGATGCTGGGGAATGGACCTCGCAGAACACTACCCGACACCTATACTTTGATCTGAGATGCTTTCAGTGCTAGGAGCAGTAAAGGTGAAAATAAATTATCAAGCATAATCTTTATTTATTTTTTTTTTCATTTCACTTCACCCTTTTCAGTCAGACCTAATTGAAATGTTATACTCTGTTGACGCCTGACATTCCTCATCAGGCCAGCGAGATACAGTAACCCCCCCTAGGCCCTGTGCTGGTGCTGAACATGTGCATTCATGTTTTGATTGCTGGTAATCTTCACTTTGGCCTGATAATTGCACATTGTTTCAGTGCCTGTTTGCTCTGTAGTGTGGCTTCCTGAAGGGGCTTATTTTGAAGGGTTTTCTTTCTTTTCCCCAAACTAAAACTGTGGAACAGAAGTAGCAATTTATTTATGTCATTAGGCATTTGATCTGCCAATTTGGACTCCATCACCATGTGGTTCTTTTTCTTTGTTTTAATTACAGTGTGTGCACCGGCCTGCTCATTAGCGCCATCCTCTAGGTCTGTGAGGTTCAGCTGTTTGGTGGGATGACATCCTTTCTGGGAATACTGGCACCTGTGTGGAATTCAATCCCCTGACTTAACAGAAGAAGCTTTTGCCTGGTGCTTAGTTGGGCTGTTTTGTGAGACGTGGCCACACCATCATTTAGGAGGCTTTCTGGACCTGTCCTGTAATGGGAAGTAGTTAACATATCACAAAGAGCTGTAGTTGTTGCCCCTACATTACGGTATTAGCAGTGAATATAGATCTGTAGAAATACATATTTTGTATCCACTTCTCCTGTGTTTCAGGCACCGTCTGGTCTTCAGACCTGTGGCCAAATTGAGTTGCATGTCTGTACTGAATGCCGACTGCTTTTCGATCTCATGGCATCTGTCTGGTAATATGGAAGGCAAGATGTTGCACTTGACCCCTGCAGTAGTTTTGGAAGTGAATCACCTCTTACTGTAGCTGGCAGTGGATGAGGCCTCTAGCCGGACTCATATTAAGGAGCTCTCGAGAGAGTCGTCTGTTCAGACCACAACTGGCCGGGGCAACTCCCGCTCCTGTAATTGCCCCTCATTGGTGCACATGCCCTGCTCAGGTGCGTACAGGGACACAAATAGCCTGGATTTGTTTTCCCAGGCTTCTAAGTATGAAGAAGCCGCCTATTTTTGGACTGATGGCTTGCTCTAAACATGAAAAGGTTGTTTCAAGGTTGAACAAGCGTATCTCCTCTCGTCTCTTCCTCCAGATATCCCCAAGTGGGGTTGGCGTTTTGTTAAACTTTAAAGCCTCAATCATGTGATGAAATATCATTTTCAATGGTGATGATGAAATCAACAAAATCGCAGATGGACCCACGGAACTTATAGTGATTTTCTGGCGAGGTGGGTGGGGGCATTTTAGTCATAATGGGGGATGATGTTAGGCTGAGTGTCGATATTCATTCCCATGGTTTGCCTCCTCAGTCCACTGAAACTTAACAACTTTTTTTTTTTTTTTTTTGCTGAATGGTTGCATTGTTTGCTCATAAAATCATCTCATGGGCAATTTTTCAGAGTAATGGACCCATTCAGATAATGTTATGTTTTCAGATTTTCACACTGTAACCGCTGAGAACGGCACTGCCCACTGCATGCTAATGTAAACGACTGACACCACCCTTCTCAAATTGCCATCCGATTTGGGCAATTTTCATACAGCAATTCATCTTGAAACTCAGGCAGGTTCCAGAAGGCGATAACCTAAATGTCAGTGGTAGCCTTGAGCCAAGAGGGGGTCCAATATTGTGAAGCGTGAAAGCTCTAAAAGATTGAGAGACAGTGGCGGGTTTGAATCTTGCATGGGACACAGCTGGCCCGTCCTTTACAAAGCTCCTTTAGAGAGACTGATGCAGAGAATATGTGGCTTCATGAAACCATCGCATCCATGGCATAGAATTGTATGCATGGCAAAGAGTGTCTGAGAAGAAAAGGAATAATTCAGTTTTTCTCCTTTTTGTACACTACATGCCCAAAGGAGGCACTTTTCCAGCAGTCAGGCTTCACCTGCGGGCTGCAGCCTTTGACAGACCTGCGCAGGAACCCTCCATATGTAGCTCAGAGGACCTGGAGAAGTGGCGCTTGGTGGAGGGGAAGCTAAAGTATCCAGCTCCTACACCGCTACGTCACACCATCTGGTGGAGATGGGGGCACCCCCCAAACCCGCCCCTTTTGGACACCAGCCAAAGACTTTGTCATCATTTACTAAACCAGATGCCAGTCACCCGTGTGTGTTGGAGCACAGCTGGGGTATTAGTGGCTTTTTTCCTTAGAAAATATTGACAGAAGTTGAGCAGGAATATTGGCATCTCTGGATGGTGATTTTTATATATAATACACAGGCAGACAGACAGACAGACATGACCTGCAATAGAGGGGTCTGACGGAACTGCCTGGGATATGGTCTGGGCTCCCGCCCGAGGTGGGTGGGTGGATTGATGGATTGATGGATGGATGGATGAATGGATGGATAGATATGGATCTCACTTCTTTTGTTCTGATTTTTGCTAATTACCTGTCATTTCTGAGTTGCCTCGAGTATCTTAAAAAGCCTTGCTGTTCAGAGTGTTTGCAGTAATGCCATTACTTTTTTACACATGCATCTACATAGGCATACACCTATACCGTACGTTGATGGATTGCAAGTTCACCCTGTTTTCTTATTTATTATTTTTATTTTAAGATCAGGGCAATCAATCACTCCAAACCATTTTGTTTCACTAGCTGCAATTACCCTTGTGTGATGGCAGCCATTTGTTACCGCGTTTGAATCTGTGTCACGCCGCTTTTCCTCTAGCAGGTCAGCGGTGCTCCTCTGCCCCGCGTTCACTTCTTCCCTGTTTGGCATTTTGCTGCAAAAAAAAAAATATGTATTCCGTTGATCTCAGAATGGGGGCAGATTGAAGGCGGAAAAGCACTGGGGAGATGGCGGAACGTATGACCTCCCAAAACCGCCTTTCTCCGTGCGCTTGCCTGAATTTCTTCGGTGAGCGAAGCTGTCATTTGATGAACATGAGAGAGTATCAGCGAGTGGCTTCTCCTCCCACGTGTACAGGAGAAAGGCATTTTGAAGTCCATTCTCACGTTCAGCTGTTTGTGTGGTTCACGGCCGGCTGATGGAGGGATGGAGGTCATGCCTCGCCTGCCGGGGCATTCTGCTCTGGGGTCACGGCCCTCCTGCTGCTCTCCGGCTGCTTTTGGCACATTTAAGATGGACTGTGCACACCACTGGGAACGGTTTCTTACAATGTTTGTGCAACTGGCCCTAAAAACAGCCAATCCTGATCTTAATAGCAGGATCATCTTAAGGGAGAAGAGGCTGCCGGTTTTGGTCACCGTTCGCTGGCTATCTCTAACGCTTCATTCTACAGGCAGTATCACATTAACTAGAAAACATGTAGTGGCGGCTTTTGTTTTCTGTCAAATTGTCAGTCTCTCCAGCAATTCTGCACTCTCAGAAATGAGCGCGAAATCAACCGACCTCTGCACTATTTGCAAAGAGCTTGCAGCTTTTCAAATTTACCGCAGCTTTTTCTGCAAAAACTGCCCAAATCAACAGACTGCTTGCATTTGGACCATAACGTGTCTCATGACTCCATCGCAGTGCAAATTCATGTGTATTTTTTGCTAGGCTGCGCTGCGGGGATGATGAGCACAGCAAATTTCATTTACTAAATCACCACTAAAGACCATGCAAAACGATTCCTAAAATTTTTTTGTACGAAAGTGGAGGCAAACTTTTGTAACATTGTGGTAGAACACCTACAGCCATATGGATGTAAGAAATTGTTCAAATTTTCCAGACAGCCTTTAAGTGTCCATGTTAAGGTGATGCATTGTTTGCTTTCTGCTTAGTATAGTAGGAGTTTTCTGTAAAATGGATGCATTGTCTACATTTTAAGTTGAGCAATTGATTGCATCCTATATTCTGCCATATTCTGTTAAGTGGAGGCATTGTAAAGAGCTGAGATGAACAGGATCTACGTTAAACAAACAAAGGGCACTTTGGAAATGAAACTACATTTTTCTGTTAACATATTTGATTTTATTTATTTTTATTTTGCTGCTAATGTTGAATTGAGTATTTTTTTTACTAAGACTTAACTGGAACCAAAAGACAGTATTTTCTTTAATAAATATAATTGAGCCCTTGAGTTTGGAAAAGAAATAAAAAGATCACAGAAACATGATTATTTATGTGATATAAAAATAAACATGCAAAGGAAGTAATTAAATATATGTATTTCTTCAGTGTCAGTAGTTAAAAAAAAACTGAAGTTGAACTTGCAATTTTGCCCATTTATGCAAACATTTCTGAAAAAAAGCACATAGAACTCTGTAAGTTGCATCACAGATTTTGAGAAAAGCTGCTTCAAAATGAAGGTGTTTGGCTACAACAATAACAAAAAATGTCTGCAACATCCCATAGGGATTTGAGTCTAATGGTGGAAAATATTGAAGTGCATGATGATGGCCACCAGGTGGTGCTGTGCACTACTCGCAACCCACATTCATTGCAATGGGGTCTTTTGGGAATTTTTGGGGGGGTGGGGGGGTTGGAGGACAATATGCAGTACTGGATCCAACTGAGGATGTACATCTGTCAGTTCACTGAAACCTGATTCTTAAAAATGTCAAGTACTATATTGCGGCTATATTGAGACAATACCACTGCTATCTTTAAAATTTTAGTGAAAAACGATAAAAAGTGGCACTGTGGATGTTCTGCAAAAAACAGATCAGGATGCTTCCAGTGACATGACTGTGTTGGTATCTGCAGGCAGACATTGCTTTCCAGAAATACAGCAACAGCTACAACATGGTAACTGAACATGAATGGCCATGTGGCATTATTGCAGAACTTTTTTCTGCAGGAGCAAATGGCTGAATTCTCATAGATTACCACCAAAAAATGCGTAAACATGATTCATAGGGTTCATTGTAATTAACAAGTGAGTCCAGTAAGGGTAAGGCTTCAAATGGACGATTCTGGATGATGGCGTATCAAATCATCAGTGTGAAGCTAGTGCTACGAATTAGTAAGTGTAGAAGGCAGAAATACCCTCATGTATGTAAAACTGTTTTTTAACTTTAAATTTTCAAGCATGAGGTTTCTGGTGTCTCTGTGTTCTAAAACAGGCTAATTGATGATGACAGCTAAGAATTGCATAGCCTATGACAGATAATAATAATAGGTTTCATTTATATAGCACTTTTCACAATTGCAAGGTCGCACGTCTGTAATCAGGACGAAACAGTAGAGAAATGTTCATGGAGAAGAAGATGATAGATAGATAGATAGATAGATAGACACGAAAAGAAAACTGATGCTTCTGGTAGCTGAAATACAAACAAATACGCACAAAAGCAATAATGCTGATAATTTTGCAGAAAAGGCCATTGTCATTTGTAAGTCATACAAGCATATTAATATATGCATTGAAAACATTGTGCCACATTAATATGTGAGTTACAAGGATTATGACTGCTTATCTACTAGGGTGAAAATTATTCTGTAGATGTTTATATATAGATATATAGGCCTATATTTGTTGCCAGTGGTAAACATCTATCAGTTAATCTCCTAATTACTTATCCTGGTTGAGGTCATAACCATAGTATACCGTGCAGTTACAATTAATTTAATACAATAGAGTTTGTCGTGCAGTTGTCACCACTGCGTCAGTCACGAGCTACTAGTAGCCCACATAATGCTTGTAAGAAACTGGATGTATTTTTAATTATCTTTTGTATGTTGTGTATACAGATGATATTAAACTATTTTTCTTTGTCTTAGACTGAGCACCATTGCTTACCCCCACTGCCACCCCTGTCAAGAACCTTTACCGTTGCCAACCCAAATCAGCATGATACAGTAGATAGCAGTATGATGTATGATACAGTAGATGATAATCATTATGATGCAGTTAAGGTCGATGCAGTGAAAATCAGTATGATGCAGTAGAAGTTGACTTACAGAAAATCAATATGACGCAGTAGAGGTCGATGCAGTAAAAATCAGTATAATGCCGTAAAGGTCGATGCAGTGAAAAGCAGTATGATGCAACTGAGACGTATGCAGTGGAAATCAATATGATGCAGTAGAGGTTGATGCAGTGAAAATCAGTATGATGCCGTAAAGGTCAATGCAATGAAATCAATACAATTTCTACCGCATTTCTTTGTTGTACCTCCACCAAAGATTTGTTGACAAAGTGAAATTTAATTGTTAATGAGCAAACTATATGAAATGCTCCACTTCATAGTGTCATAATCTGAGTAAAATATAATTGGACCAAATTATATGATACAAAATAAAATAAAGCCAATTATTAAATTGAGTCAAACCCAGAGTGAGCTGTAGCAATGTTACACACCTTAAAAATCTGTGGTAGCCCTCCAACAGACCCAGCAGAACCTTTTTCGTTCAGGACATATGGATCAATTGTTAGGCAGCTCATTTTAGTAGATTTTTAGGAAATACACTGCCAGTGCAGATGTAAATGTGTACACCACTTAAAATTGGCTATTTTGTTGCTGACAGAGTCTGAAAACTCATTTTATAACTTCTGGTTAAGTGTAATTGATAGGCCAGCATGGAATTAGTTATGTAACATATTTATAAAAACTGTCATAATGCTGATCTGTGTGACTGTCATCATTCATGACAACAATAATCTTATAAGTTTCACATTTTAGCATTGACTGAAGGAATATATTGATGTTTGCACAGTGTTCAGGTATCACTTTAATGCTGCAAGTTTGGAAGTTGCAAATTAGTATATTTAAGTATACTGTATGTGGTTAATCAAGTAATTAATTTAGTAATTAGGGCTTTGCTACCTGGTTAATCAGTTGAAACAAATAATGGTAAGTATGCCCCCAACTGCAAGAACATGTTTAGGCATCACTGACTGTTCTCAGCAGAATCAGTCCAGCCATGAATCACCAACAGATATATGTGAAGAAGGCTGTAGGACTGACGTCATGCTAATTGCCTACTGCCTATGTTCTTCAGCATTCTGATGTCATGGTCATTACATCCTACACCCTGCCACATTTGGATGTCATGTTAATTACCTCCAAAATCCTTCAGAATTTTGATGTCATGGTAATTACATCATACTGGTAATTACATCAACATTCTGATGTCATGTTAAATTCCTCCTTCATCATCTTGTATCCTGATGTCATGTTATGTCCTTCATCCTGCCACATTCTTATGCTAATTACCATTTACATTCTGATGTCATGCTAATTACACCCTACGTCTTTCTGTATTTTGATGTCATGGTAATTACGTTCTGAATCCTGCCACATTCTGATGTCATGTTAAATTTCTCCTCCGGTATCCTGATTTGATAAGTCCTTAATCCTGCCATATTATGATGTCATTATGATGACAAGCTATATCCTCCTACACTCTGTTGTGCTGTTTATATTTTTCATTCTTATATTGTGATGATCCTATTCTGTATTCATATTTTTTCTCCAGGCTTTTGGATTTTTAATTACCTTCAACATTCTGACATGATGCTAGTTACCTTCCACAGTATGTTGCGATATCATTTCATTATATTTTACTTTTTTACATAACCTTGGTTATCTCCCACATTTGGATATAATGTTAGTCATCTTCCACATGCTGATGTTACATTATCTCTGATATGTTACTTATCTACCTAACTACTTGCGGTAGTTATCTCCCACATTCTGATATCATGTTGCTTATCTCCCACATCCTGATCTAGTGTTAGTTATCTCTCATTCTGACAGCGTGGTAGTTCATTTAATTATTTGTTTAAACCTATATCATTTGATCTTGGCATACAATACCTTTTTGGAAAGCTCTATATCTAAGCTACAATGCATTCCAATTTCAGCTCTCCATATTTTCACTTTCACAATGGGCAAAAATATTGGGAAACACCTCTTAATCATTATATTCAGGTGTTTCATTCAACCCCATCGCTACAAGTGTATAAAATGAAGCACCTAGTCATATAGTCATGTTTCCAAACATTTGTGAAAGAATGGGTTGTTTTGAAGAGCTCAGTGAATTCAAGCATGGTGCTGTCATAGGATGCCACTTTGGCAATAAGTTAATTCATGAAATTCCTTCCTTGCTAGATATTCCATAGTCAACTGTAAGTTGTGTAAGTCAACACAAAGACTGTGTGCTGGGAGCTTCATGGTATGGGCTTCCATGGCCAAGCAGGTGCATGCAAGCCTCACATCAGCAAGCACAATAGCAAGCATCAAGTGGTGTGAAACATACTGCCACTATGGAAATGTGGTCTGTGGAGTGAAGAATCACGCTTCTCTGTCTGCCAGTCAGATGGAGGAGTCTGGGTTTGGTAGATGCCAGGAGAACATTACCTGCCTGACCGCATTGTGCTGACTTTAAAGTTTGGTGGATGGTATGGGGCTGTTTTCAGGGGTTGGGTGCCTTAGTTTAAGTGAAGGGAACTCGTAATGCTTCAGCATCCCAAGACATACCAAGACATTTTGGACAACTGTTCCAACTTTGTTGGAACAATTTTATGGAAGGCCCTTTTCTAATACAGCATGACTGTGCCCCAGTGCACAAAGCAAGGTCCATAATGACATGGTTGGATGAATTTGGTGTGAAAGAACTTGTTTGGCCCACACAGAGCCCTGGTCACCACCACATCGAACACCTTTAGGATGAACTAGAATGGAGATGGCGAGCCAGGCCTTCACATCCAACATCAGTTCAACCAAGGAGACCTCAATAGATAGTTGACAAGTGTTTATTTGTTGAACAAATTTAAATGGGTATGTGAACAGTGATTTGGCAAAGCCCGTCTCTTGGTCGTTGGTTCCATCGACTCTGAAGCTGACAGATCTGGCTGGGCGACCAGGCAGGAGGCGAAGGAGCCAAACCCCGGACCAGGACGGGGAGCCGAAGGTGGTTGAAGTGAGGAGGTGGGAGAACGAATAGCTGTAACGGCAAAGAAGTGGGTTAGATTTACTGTTTATAAAAAACCTGGACCTCTGTGATTGGACACGCTGGCGTTCATTAGGTCTCCTTATTTGAACTTTCATATTCACTTTCATTACCTGACCTTACAAATGCTATTCTTGGTGAATGGGCAACAATTCCCACAAACACAATCCAAAATCTCCAAAAGCCTTCCCAGTAGAGTGACAGCTATTTTAACTGCAAAGAGGGGACCAATTCCACATTGATGCCTATGG